CTGTGCCGTTTGGACCCGGTCCCAGCCCCCCCCCGCCACCTGTCCCCCCCCCGCTTGCCCCGCCTGCCGCTCACTGATTGGCTGGCTCACCAATCGCCCTGCCCGCCTCTAAGAATCCTATCTAAACCTTAAAGTCTTAAAGCTGTCAAGTTTGAATATCCCTGGGGTTTTTTTCCTAAAGGGTTAGGGGTGCAAGGGTCTTATAACTTGACAGCTTCAAGACTTGCACACGTCAATGCCAGAGTTCCTGAGCAACATGACTGGAGGAGGAATTCTGGGAGTTGAAGTGTGCAAGTCTTAAAGCTGTCAAGTTACAAGACCCTTGCACCCCTAACCCTTTAGGAAAAAAACCCCAGGGGTGTTCAAACTTGACAGTTTTAAGACTTTAAGGTTTAGATAGGATTCTTAGAGGCGGGCAGGGCGATTGGTGAGCCAGCCAATCAGTGAGCGGCAGGCGGGGCAAGCGTGGTGGGGACAGGTGGCGGGAGGGAGCTGGAACCGGTTCTAAACGGCACAGTAGATTTGTGGAACCTCTTCTATAGAAGAGGTTAGAACTGGCAGAAACCCACCCCTGACTACAACTCTCACTCACCAGTCAGTTGTGTATTCTTGTGGAGTTTGAAAGGCAGCAGTGAAAGACCATTGCTAACAGGGGATTGTAATTCATCCAGATGGCATCTGATTTTGCAGGATTTATCTATGTGTTCTGTCTTTGGGTGAATTTTCTACAATGCTTTTTTTCATGAAATGCCAGGTGCTATTCCTAAATGAAATAATCCATCTGCAATATTTTACCTTCTAAGACTGATGGAACCAATTAATATGCTGGTGCATTGATCATATGTTAAAATTCAAATCAGCTAAACACATTAACTGTTTGGCAGTCCACATTGGCAATAGATTTCTGTTGATGGTTTATAAAATATTTCAGTGGATTTGTTCTTATTTAGTTTAAAATATTGTGCTTAGAAATTTCTTTCTGGTTTGGATTTGACCTGTGAGCTATTGTCATTTCAAACAATATCTGAAATTTAAACTCCTTTCACAAAGCAGGAACAATCTTGCATTCTTGAAACTGTTGGCAGTATAAGTGCAAACCCTATAAACGATTTTGAAAAAGAACAACAATATTCTTTTCATGTTTTGTCCAAAGCAAATGAGCCAAAGTTAGCTTTGGATTGCTGCCTTCTTCCAATGAAAACTCTGATGGTTTAGTTTATTATCTTTTCATTTTATCTCTTCAAGTTCCCTTTGGTCACAGCCATGATTTGTGTAGGAGATATTTACCACTTGTTGAACTTCTTCAGCTTTTCCCGGTGGCTCTTCATAGGACTAGCCACCCTTGGGCTTATAGTTCATCGCTGTCGCTATCCTGATATATTAAGCCCGTTCAAGGTAAGTTATGATAGTTTGAAGTCTCTTAGGAACATAATGCTTTACCTTTTTTCATTAGCTCTGGAGAGATGAATCAAGAGTTCTTTGGTCTAATTCCTCTCAAATATAAATCAAATAATAAAGTGGCATTGTTATTATTAGTTGTGGTGGTGCAGTGATTAGAGTGCAATACTGCACTTCTGCTGCTTGCCGGCTGCCTGCAATTTGGCAGTTCAAATCTCACCAGGCTCAAGGTTGATCCATCCTTCCATCCTTCCGAGGTGGGTAAAATGAGGACCCAAATTGTTGGGGGCAATAGGCTGACTCTATAAACAGCTTAGAGAGGGGCTGTAAAGCACTGTGAAGCAGTATATGAGTCTAGATGCTATTGCAATTATATATGCCACTCAACTCCTAGCTGCTTTGGGCAATTTGCAAATTATTTGAAAAACAGGATAATAAAAATAACACGGAAGAAACAGGAATTATTATCAATCAATTGGCAAGTTAATTTGAAGCCAATATACAAATGGTGCTGGACAAGAGCTGGAGGTACCCTGGTTCAAACTTCTGTTTAGCCATGAAAGTGGCAAGGAGATCAATAACCGCTTACCTATCTTAATGGAAGTTAAGTCCTGGGTCTTTGAATGAAGGGTGGCATACAAATGTTATGTATGAGCACTAATCCAATTACAGTATTTACTTGCCTCCAAGAAGTCCTGAAGTTACTTTGTTCCACCAAGGCTATAGTAACATAATCTTGCAAGTCTGAAAATACATATATCTCCCTCTCGCTTTTACAGTTCAAGAAAATTATGGAGGGTCAATTGCCTTTTATTTGACCACTAACTGATAACCTGGCGTTGCCTGGGTATCTATTTATCCCAATCCTATATTATACAGGAATGGCAATGTCAAGTGGCAACATAAGTGCGGAATGGGCTGTCCTCTCACCTTCCATGAACATCA